AAGTTATCACCAATTAAAGAGGTCCCTTGGATGGTATCCTTGAGAGACTTGGCTGGTATCCCTGAGAGACAATATGATCTTCTAAATAAATATCCCTCAGCATTTTCCAAACAGTATTTCTAATGTAATTGGGTCCATGTAGAATTTTTTTCCTGAACTTCATTTGACAAATTAGTTCTGGGTTCAGGAAGCATAAGAATTTGATGTTCTGAATGTATATAATTCCAGAATCTACAAGAACAATTGCTGCACCATATCAGAAGTACCATCAAAAATCCACACTGGTTTTTGTTGAAGAGGCTGATCTCCAAACAGATCCAGCTTGATTCTAAACAGGGAAGAAAGAAGGAAAAGCAACCTATCTTCACACTTCTTTATATGACTACAGGTTTGTTAGAGGAGTGAATATTAAATGCTATGAGTTAACAAATAAAATTTTAAAAAGAAAATAGATATTTTATAAGTCTACGAAATTAAGAGAAAGAAAAAGGATGTAATGTACCTGAGGGAGAGTAGACTTATATTGTGGAATAAAGTTGAAACTCAGAGATAGAAGTGAAATTATGCATTTAAGTATAAATGAAAGAACTATAACTTATTCCGGAATACATGAATTTGTATCATCTATGATTCTGTGAGTGTATAAGAATATAGAAATCCACAGGTTGACACCAGTTAAATATTTTGCTCCAATAAACAGTAGTAATGGGAAAACCAAAGATGGGATTTGGGGAAGTTGTACAATCTTCTTAATAAATGCAGTCCAGGGAAAAAATATTCTGTTAGGTGACATGAATGGATGTACAGCACTGAATGAAGAGAATAAAGGAAAAGCAGACCATCTGAGACCTAGGAACAAATCAGAATACTTGCCACAAGAAATGGGCATAAAAGAAAAATATTGTTTCCCCCCCCAAAAAAAGATGATTGCAAAGGAAGCATTTAAAGTGAGCAAGTAATGGCTAAGAGCAAAATAATAGAGAAAATGCAGAAATAATATCATGACATTTAAAGCGGGGGTGGGGGGGAGGGAAGAAGGCTAAACGAGGACTCCACCTCTAATCAAAAGAATATAAAAAATAATTATTTTCATACAGTCATACAATTTTCATACATTGTCATACAATGATTTTGGGTGAAATAGAAGCAAGTGAAGACTGGACATGTTTAGACATTTGTATAGGAAAGATAATAATATGCTAAAGAGTGGGACTGAAACACTTTATATAAACATTACTGTCTGAGAACTATAGATGTAAAACAAAGTCATAAATGCTGTAAGGATGGTGTAACTAGAAAATATCCCATGATGGATTTTGGGTTATTTATGGAGTGGCTGAATTGTGATTATAACTCTATGGCTGAGTTTATTGTGTATGTAAAATAAAGATTGCACCTGTTCCTGATAACTGGAAGAACGCTATCAAAGCTGCATAAGTGAAAGCAAAGACTACCATGTTTTCCCGAAAATAAGACCCTGTCTTATATTTTTTTGAACCTTGAAATAAGCGCTTGGCCTTATTGCCATGTGTTCAAAAGCCCGATTGGGCTTATTATCAGGGGATGTCTTATTTTGGGGGAAACAGGGTATTTGGAAATTAGTTTGTTCATTTTTTCAGGGTTCTGGCTTATATGGGTGCAAAAGATGGCCATGAGCAAATTTGGACCATGAGCAATTTTGGGCAGAACAGTGCAGTTTTATGTAAGAGAAGAATGTTTAAACCAGGTCAATGAGAAGGGTATCAATGTAAAAAACAAAAAGGAAGTGTAATGTAGGTTTTAGCTGACTTAAGGAAACCATAGGATACAGTGAATAGACCTTAATTAAGAAATATTTTGAGTCAATATGGAGTTGAAATGTGATTGCTCAATAAGAGCAGTTTATGATGGAAGGAAAGGGAAGCATGCATGAGAATTAATGGACTGTTTAGCAAATTGTTCAACACAAAGCAGAGAGTACAGAGTACAGAGTACAGAACCAGTTTGGTATAGTGCAGTGGTGAAATCCAATTTTTTTTACTACCAGTTCTGTGGGCGGGGCTTGGTGGGCATGGTGTGGCTTGGTGGGCGTGGCTTGGAGGGTATGGCAGGGGAAGGATACTGCAAAATCCCCATTCCCTCCTCACTCCTGGGGGAAGGATATTGCAAAATCTCCATTCCCATCCCACTCTGAGGCCGGCCAGAGGTGGTATTTGCCAGTTCTCTGAACTACTCAAAATTTCCGCTACCAGTTCTCCGAACTGCTCAAAATTTCTGCTACCGGTTCTCCAGAACCTGTCAGAATCTGCTGGATTTCACCCCTGGTATAGTGGTTAGGGACCAGGCTAGAAACTGGTTGACCATGCCAGGAGTCTTTAATTTATACCATCCTGGAAAAATGATTGTCCAATCTTTTCTTCAAAACATCCAGCAATGGAGCACCCACAACTCCAGGAGGCCAGCTGTTCCATTGATTAATTATTCTCATTGTCAGAAAATTCCTCATTTCCAGGTTGGATCTCCCTCTGATGAGCTTTCCCATTGCTTCTTGTCCTGTCCTCAAATGCTATGGAGAGTAAATTTAAATTGCCTGTGTTAGCCCTTCATGTATTGGAAGATTGCAGCCTTGTCACCCTTAAGTCTATCTTCATTTGGCTAAAGATACCTAGTTCCCTTAGCTGTTCATCATATGATTTAGCTTCCAGTCCCCTCATATTTGTTGTTCTTCTTTGCATACTTTCTAAAGCTTCAGTATCTTTTTTTGTATAATGGCGGCTTGAACTGCTTGTAGTATTCCAAAGGCAACCTCATCAGTGTGGTGTAGAGCAGTACTATCACTTCTTGTGATCTTGGTACTATCCCTCTGTTGATGCAGCCTAGGACAGTACTGACCTTTTTTTTTTTTTTTTTTTTTTTGCAGCTGAAGCACACTGCTGACTTATGTCACCAGGGCACCTAGATCCTTTCATAGGCACTACTCTTTAGCCACGTACTTCCTATTCTGTATCTGTGCATGTGGTTTTTCCTAATTGCAGGACCATACTTTTCTCACCGCTGAATTGCATCTTGTTAAATAGGGCCCAAAGTTCAACTCAGTCAAGATCCTTCTGAATCTTGAGACTATTTTCCAAAATATTAGCAATTCCCCCCAAATAGGATGAGTACCCCTTTAATTCCCCTATCTAGGTCATTTATGAAGATGTTGAAGAGCACTGGACCCAAGACAGAACCTTGAGGTACCCCACTGCATGCTTCCCTCCATGTAGATGTAGTTCCATTGAGGAGTACACAGTGAGTGTGGTTGGTCAGCCATCTGCAAATCCATCGGGTGGTGGATTTGTCTACCCCACGTTGTTCTGTCTTACCAAAAAGTAGGCTGTAGTCTACTTTGACAAATGCCTTTCTGAAGTCTATTATATCCACAGCATTTCCTTGGTCCATTCATTTATTCACTTTATCAAAGAAGGCAATAAGGTTTGTTCAGGGGTGAAATTCAAAATTTTTCCCTACTGGTTCTGTGGGCGTGGCTTGATGGGCATGGCAGGGGAAGGATATTGCAAAATCTTCATTCCCACCCTACTCTGGGGCCAGTCAGAGGTGGTATTTGCTGATTCTCTGAACTACTCAAAATTTCTGCTACCGGTTCTCTAGAACCTGTTAGAACCTCCTGGATTTCACCCCTGGGTTTGTCTGTCATGATCTGTTTTTAACAAACTCATGTGACTTCTAGTAATCACCTTATTTCTTGACCAATCCACTGCTTATTTTTTTAGGGTTTTCCCAAGTAATGATGTTAACATGATTATCCTGAGGTTTTCTGGATCCTCTTTTACCCCTTTTTGAAGATAGGAACTGCCATCAGCTCTTTTCCAGCTCTCTGTGTCCCATGTTCCAGGAACTCTGTAAGATTATATTCAGTGGTATCTCACATCTGCTAGCTCCCTAAGTACCCAGGGATGTAAACCATCTTGTCCAGGAGTTTGAACTCATTTAAAACAGATAGGTGTTATCTTACCAATTCCTTGCCTATGTTGACCTGCATTTCTATTCTGTCTTCCACAGTGCTGGTTGGACTATTTTTCCTTTTACATGAAGATGGGTGCAAAGAAAGAGTTCTGCCATCTCCCTGCTGCCCATCACCTTCTTGCTATCTTCTTTCCTTAATGGAATGAACATTTCCTTGACTTTCTTCTTGTTCTTTACATATTTGGGGAAAAAACCTTTTTGTTATTTTTGACATTTGTTGCAAGTCTTAGTTCATTCTGTGCTTTAGCCTTCCTGACTCCGTCCTTTCAGATTCGGGCTAACACCCCTCTTCCCATTTGTATACTTTTTCTTTTTGTTCCTCAGTTTGTCAGAATCTCTCTTTCCCCCTCCCTCCCTCTCCCTCCCCCCTCTCCTTTCTCTCTCTCCCTCCCTCCCTCCCTCATTCTGATATATTGTTTTTGTTTGGGCCTTTATTGTCTCATTTTTCAGAGTTTCCCAGCCATCCTAAACAGTTTTTCCCTCTAGAATTTCCATCCATGGAAACCTATCTATTCTCTCTTACTTTGTGGAAGTCAATTCTGTTAAAGTCTAAAACACTAATCTGACTTTGTTTACTTGTCTATGCCTGCATTATGGGGAATTCTAGTATGACATGTTCATTCACCTCCAAAGTTCCTACCACTGAAATGTCAAACATTAAGAATCCTGAAGAGAAAAAATGTACCAGTTGTTGAGAAGAAAGTAAGTTTCACTAAACAGAAAGAGAAGAAACTGAAGTTTTCTATTTTTCCTTTTCCAAATACTAATTGCATTTTTAGGACATAAACAAACAAAAGTGTATTTTTTCCCAACATTTTTGTGTGAGTTTTTAAGGAAAATGATTAATTTTTGAAATTTACACGTTAAAGGATCTGAAGTATAATACTTGGAGAATTTATGCTAATCTAATGAAATAACTGCAGCATATTTTTTTTTTAACAGTTATACCTAATATTTCTTGGAGAAAGAAAATCACACTACGGTGATGAATTTTTTTTCTTTTGGGATTCACAGATAACCAAAACCTACAACTGATTCTATTTGTAACATTTCTATTAATATATATAGCCACCTCACAGGAAAACATTACACTAATGGCACTTATCTGTGGCAGCCCAAACCTCCATACACCTATGTATTTTTTCATTGGAAACTTATCTTTCCTGGATCTCTGGTTTCCTCTGTCTATTCCCCAAAGATCCTGGTAAATAGCATCTCTGAAGACAAGAGCATTTCCTTGGGAGGTTGTGCTGCTCAGTTCTTCTTCTCTGCTGGCCTTGCCTACAGTGAATGCTATCTTCTTGCAGCCATGGCCTATGACCGATACATGGCCATTACAAACCCACTGCTGTATGCCACTCATATGTCCAGAAAGTTATGCACAGGACTGGTGACACTCTCATATCTCAGTGGTTTTATCAATGCTACAATAATAACTATCAAAACCTTCACGTTGAGCTTCTGTAATGGAAATGTAATTGATGACTTCTTCTGTGACCTACCTCCATTAGTCAAACTTTCTTGTAATGTGCCTGAGAGCTACCAATCAGTGCTGTTCTTCATTCTTATCTCTAATGTAATTATACCCCTGGCACTTATTCTTGCTTCATATGTCCTCATCCTGGCAGCCATCTTGAAGATACGTTCCGCTGAAGGGAGACTGAAGGCCTTCTCAACCTGTGCCTCTCACTTAACTGCTGTCACTTTGTATTATGGCTCCATCCTCTTCATCTACTCACGCCCAAGTTCCAGCTATGCTTTGAAGAGAGACAAAGTTGTATCTGTCTTCTATACAGTTGTGATCCCTATGATCAATCCTCTCATCTATAGTCTCAGGAATGAGGAAGTAAAGAAATCTCTTAAAAAGAAAGCAAAGAAGTGGAAGATACCCTAAGTAAATATGAATGAAAACATGTACTTGTACTTTTATTACCCTGAAAATATTAATATAGTTTAGGCTGCATTTACATACAGATTTATTATCAGAAAATCTTTTACAAAATGTCCCTGTAAGAATGATTCCTTTTACATAAATTGCCTTTTCTTTTTCCTTTTTTCTGTTTTTCTTTTATTTTTTATTTTTTCCAAATAAGCTGTTCTCACATAGAACATATTTCATATTTCTTTCTAACCCTAACAAACAAACAAACTTTGAGGAGATTTTCAGCCATAATTATTATTCACAAGACACATAAAGACATTTGTCTTTATTTACATTTGTCTTTATTTAGAATATTAACTATTTACATAGTTAATATTCTACAATAAAAACTTTATGTCTCCAATCAATACTCATTCCAACATTGCCTTGCTGGCCAGGCTAAGTATTTCTATTTCATAGAGTTCATTTGGAACCTGACAGTATGTAATTCATCCATTCTGGGTGATATATTTTCAAATAATAGATGAAATTCCCACCTAGTTCATGAGCTTTCCAAAAAGACTTGGTATAGAAGCCAATGGAGCTTTGGCCTCTATTCATAATCTTTGGTATATTTCTGTTGTCCTTCCCAGATCGGATCAGTGAAATTTCCATATTTGTGGGTTTGGTTAAAGGCAACTAATTCCACTTGCTGTAGGAAATGAAATGTATCAACACCCCCTTCCCCCCAAAACTTCTTCATTAATAAACTGCCTTGAGCCATCTCAGGTATTCACTCCTTCATTAATATATGACCACTCATACAACAATTCATAATACATGATACATTCAAGACAAATGAGTACAATACAAATGAGTACTGAATATAGAATAGAATAGAATAGATTTTTTTATTGGCCAAGTGTGATTGGACACACAAGGAATTTGTCTTGGTGCATATGCTCTCAGTGTACATAAAAGAAAAGATACGTTCATCAAGAATCATAAGGTACAACACTTTTTTTTAATGGAAAATGTAAATAAATTATTTTAAAAAAAGAATCATAAGGTACAACACTTAATGATAGTCATAGGGTACAAATAAGCAATCAGGAAACAATATCAATATAAATAGTAAGGATACAAGCAACAAAATTCCAGTCATACAGTCATAAGTGGAAGGAGATAGGTGATGGGAACGATGAGAAGATTAATAGTAGTGCAGACTTAGTAAATTTGTTGAGGGAATTATTAGTTTAGCAGAGTGATGGCATTCAGGAAAAAACTGTTCTTGTGTCTAATTGTTCTGGTGTGCAGTGCTCTATAGCGTCGTTTTGAGGTAGGAGTTGAAATAGTTTATGTCCACGATGTGAGGGTCTGTAAATATTTTCACAGTCCTCTTTTTGACTCGTACAGTATACAGGTCCTCAATGGAAGGCAGATTGGTAGCAATTGTTTTTTCTGCAGTTCTAATTATCCTCTGAAGTCTGTGTCTGTCTTGTTTGGTTGCTATATATATAAAATCACTAATAAATAACACCATGGATGAAATAGCTGTGTCATATAAATAAAATCACAGCTTATCATTTGCACACCTTTGGGAATCATAGTTATTATTTCAAAATATTTCAACTTCTCAAAAGTAAGTTAAAATTATAAAGAAGACTCGGTAATTAAACATTGTAAAGTTGTAATGCAGTTCCCATTTCTTTTAATGGGAGTTAATAGAAACCATTTGTTCAAAATCAGAACTACTTAGGGAATAGCAAGTTTTTCCCAAAAGCATTAAGATCTCTTGCATAAACCAAAAGGCAGCTGAGGAAATGCTGTGCCCAAATTAAGCAGACCTGGAGCCTGGAGCTGGAAGATGTCTGTATTTCTCCCCAGTTGCAAAGAATTTCCTAAATCATTTCATATAGAAGAAACCTATTTACAACCAGAAAAGAAGGAATGCTTTAAACTATTGTAGATGTCACTGGGATCAGAGTAAATGGGTAAGTTTAGCCTGTTCTGGCCATTGGGGTTTATCATATACACCCACCTTTGTGGTGATGACCTTTCTGCTACATTTTAATCTGGTTCAATTTTATTTAAGCCTTGGTGGTGCAGCAGACTAAAGTGCTGTTAAGTAGCACTTAGCTGCCAGCTGCCTGCAATTACTGGGAGTTCAAATCTCACCAGGCTCAAGGTTGACTCAGCCTTCCATCCTTCCGAGGTAGGTAAAATGAGGACCCGGATTGTAGGGGCAGTAAGCTGACTTTGTCTAAAAAAGAACACCGCTTGGGGGGGCTGAAAGCCCTACTAAGCAGGTATATACAAAAGTATGAAGCCTATTGCTTAAACACTTTGTAAGCCGCCCTGAGTCTCCGGAGAAGGGCAGCATATAAATCGAACCAATAAATAAATAAATAAATAAATAAATAAATAAATAAATAAATAAATAAATAAATAAATAAATAAAAAATATAAATAAATAAATAAATAAATAAATAAATAAATAAATAAATAAATACTGATTGAAATCATAATTCGTTTCTCATCATGAATATCTTCTATTTTTCTTTGCATCTTCCCACAAGTCAGATAGTATATAACTCTGATTACTGCATTCTTCCAGTTTCCACAGTGTTTCTACGACTCAATGGAAAACACCACATGGGTGACAGAACTGATACTCACAGGGTTGACTGATGATCTACAGTTGCAACTCATCCTCTTTGTGACATTTTTTGCTGCTTATGCCATCATCCTAGTGGGAAATGTGAGCATGATTTTCTTAATCAGGCTCAGTCCTCAACTCCACACACCAATGTATTTTTTCCTCACTCACTTATCGTTCTTGAATATCTGCTGTTCATCTTCTATCACTCCAAAGTTCCTATGCCATCTGTTAACAGAGAAGAAAGTTATTTCCCTTGCAGGTTGTTTTACTCAACTTTACTTTTATGCCCTATTTTCCACTGCAGAGTGTTTCCTCCTAGCTATCATGGCCTATGACCGCTATGTGGCCATCTGTCACCCTCTACTCTACTTGGTCACCGTGTCCCAAATAAAATGTGTCCAACTAGTAGTCGTTTCCTACATTACTGGGTTTGTACATGGTTTAGTGCATATCATTCCTGCATTTCAGTTATTCTTCTGTGGACCAAACATCATTAAGAATTTTTTGTGTGAGGGTCCTGCACTACTACAACTTGCCTGTTCAGATATCAGTTTCAATAATCTGTTGAAATTTATATTTATTGGCTTTACTATAATAACAACAAATGTGGCTATTCTCACATCCTACACTTATATCCTGATCACCATTTTAAAGATGCGCTCTGCCAAGGCTCGGAGGAAAGCCTTCTCCACATGTACATCTCACCTCATGGTCATCACTATTTTTTACGGATGTGGTGCTTTTGCATATGCACAATTACAACCGAGCAAGTCTCACTACATCAATCAAGTAGCTTGTGTATTATATCTAGTAGTGACTCCAATGATCAACCCCTTAATCTACAGCTTGAGGAACCAGGAGGTAAAGGTTGCCTTTAGAAAAATTCTTGGGAAAAAATGTTGTGTTCCTTTTTATACCAAAACCTGAATACCCTTAGAACTCCAGTAACATGTAGAAATATAGGAGGAAATACATGTATATTAACAGGGTGGTTATCTGATATATTTCCCCTTGGGAGGTTACTTGACTGAATTTGTTTTGCTTTCAATTATAAGGGACTATTGGTATTTAGCCAAATCAAAATCTACTTTCACATTTTAAAAATTCACCAAGTTATTGTCATTTTCTTAATGTGATCTAATTTCTAAATGTTAATGATGAAACCCCAGTGAGATTCCTCAGGCAAAGAATATAAAGATGGAGATACACACAAACACACACACACACACACACACACACACACACACACACACACACACACACAAATAATATAGAATGGTGTATTATTTAAAAACCTGAGCTATGGTATGGGATTCTTTTGAATCACAAAGAGAATGATTGTGATTTTAAACCTCTACATTAAAAAAAAAAACATTTCGACCAAAATCGTCTGTCTCCTGTGATATTCCGACTCAATAATTAATGTGACATAAATCACTTGTTGCTTTTTGTAATAAGGTCTATACACAGGTGGCCTAGATTCTGTCTTATGGCTAGTTATGGATTTTCTTTCAAGGTCAACTCAGTGGCTGCCTCATGCAAAATCCTAAATTTTGCAGTCTTTTCACCCAGTGACTTTGTGCCTACAGACATTTGTGCAATAAGGATGCATTCAATTATCACACTAAATAAAAGATGACAACATGGAAACTGCTATTGTGTCATTGTGTGCTGTGTTTCTTGACTGAAATTCCCCACGCTGGTCACTCAGATGGGCACACAAGTGTCACCATATGTTAAATTTCAATATCATGGGCCAAACTAAAAGAATTGAAAAATATTTCTAACTCATTTCATATTTATGCTAATAAGATTCAGTAATATGCAGAAGGATTATTTTGTTCATTATGGTTACAAGAGCAGAATTTGATTATTCTTCCAGAATTTTACTTATACTACGATGTGCCTTTTACCTCAGCTAATGGACTGTTGCAACAGGGTAGGAGTATAAATTCAATGACAATCACACCCTCCCCCATGTCTCCCATCCCCACAACCGGTTCAGAACAAAATTCTACCCAGGAAAGTTCTTGCCAGTGAAATTAAACTTCTGAATCTACAATAGGACTATACATATCTCCCCCTTCATTTTAGGATCAGCCTCTTTAGGTTGAGAGACATCCAGCATCAACGGTCAGGAAGGTGTGAAACTATGGTGAAGGAGTTCATGAATAAAAGTATAATGGGTGGGAAAATGAAAGGATAGAAGGACATAAATTATAGAGTTCTTTCTTTTTTACTTTATCTTTCTTTTATATTTTTATTTATTTAAGTTTCCTTAAAAACCCTGCTGACTTAGCAAGTGTTATTTGGATTATCTTGGAACATGAGGACATTAGGGAATTTCATGATGTCATCAGGCAACGTCTCATTCAACCATTACAAGGATCAACTTTAATAAACTATTACCTTTACTATTATTCTTATCGTGTGGTAAGAAGTAGAGATGACAACGTAATGAGAATAACTCTAAGAGTCAGGTATCAGCACAGGAGTAAGCATTGTCACCATCTCACCACCCCTGCATGCAATCATTGTTCCAAACACTCAGTCTTCCCCAACAGATCTTACATTGCTGCCTAGTGAAACAAACTTGGTGAGTATGAAGCAGGAAAAGTGACTTTACCCTTCCTTCCTTCCTTCCTTCCTTCCTTCCTTCCTTCCTTCCTTCCTTCCTTCCTTCCTTCCTTCCTTCCTTCCTTCCTTCCTCCTTCTCTTCCCTTCCTTCAGCTGTAGAAACATAAATTTATCAACATCCTCTCCCTTCAAAAACAAATTTCTTCATCAATAGGATACTCCATCATTAATTTACTGTATGGCCATTCATATTTACATTAGAACACTTGATAGATACTAAGAAACAAACAAATAAAAATAAATATATACAATAGTATAGAACAGCAGTTGAAATGGTTATGTCATATAAGGAAAGTTCTAGATATTAATTTCCACACTCAACTGAGTCATATTAACTATTTCAAGTGAATTTCAACTTCTCAAAAGTGAACTAAAATTTTCAAGGGAGTTTATTAATTAAACATTGAAAAATTGCAGTGCAGTTCCCATTTCTGATAATAGAATTAATAGAAAGCATTTGTCTAAGTTCGGAACTACTTAGGGACTGGCAAGTTTTCCCACTAGAAATAAGATTTCCTGCACAGACCAAAAGACAGCCGAGGAAATGCTGTGACCAAATTAAGAAGACCTGGATCTTGGAGCTGGGAGATATCTGCATTTCATCACAGAACTTCCTAACTCACTTCATATTGAAGCAATCCACCTGCATTCAGGAAAGAAGGAATGCTTTAATCTATTGTTGATGTCACTGAGATCAGAGTAAATAGGTAAGTTTAGCCTGTTTGAGGTCTTTTGGTTTTTCAGAATAGGGTGAGAATTTTGAAATTGTTCTGTATTAAAGATGGAGAAACTATTGTTTTTACACTAATTCTAGTTGAAACTAGTGATAAATGATTATTTAGCATTTATCAGGTACAATCTGATAAAGTTGCTCCACCAACATTCAGGAGCAACTGAGAAGAGGACATCCTCTTTTTTATTGCTTACCAGATATTTGAGGAATATAACAATAACATGTAGATTTACAGTCCTACATTTTAAGTATTTCAAGTTTCCTCTTCTCTCAAAGACAAAACTGTCTTATCTCACCCTTTGAAGATTTTAGATCACAAACTATCTTCCTACCTCTTACTGTATTCCATATGATTATTCTTTAATTATATTTAGGAAGAAATTAATGCTATTGTCACATCATTTGAAGGTGGCTTTTCATTCTTGGTCCATGTGTTCTTTCAGCACGTCAATAATTTGTACATTTGATCAAGCATGAGATGAAGGATGTTATATAATATATTGTCATCCCTTTCGTGCATCCACCTTGGGTGATGAGTCGTAGGTTACATTTTAATCAGGTGCAATTTTATTTTGATTGAAACCATAGTGCATTTCTCATCATGAATATCTTATTCTTGTTTGCATTTTTCCACTGGTCAAATAGCATATAATTCTGATTACTTCATTGTTTCAGTTTCCAAAGTGTTTCTATGATTCAATGGGAAACAGAACACAGGTGACAGAATTCATACTCACTGGATTGACTGATGATCCACACTTGCAACTCATCCTCTTTATGATATTTTTTTACTCTTTATGCTATTACCCTGTTAGGGAATGTGGGCATGATTGTCTTAATCTGGATCAGTCCTCAACTCCACACACCAATGTACTTTTTCCTCAGTCATGTATCATTTGTGGATATCTGCTGTTCATCAGCTATCACCCCAAACTTCCTATGCCATCTTGTAAAAGAGAAAAAGGTTATTTCTTTTGCAGGTTGTTTTACTCAACTTTACTTTTATGGTGTATTTTCCACTGCAGAGTATTTCCTCCTAGCTATCATGGCCTATGACCGCTATGTGGCCATCTGTCACCCTCTACTTTACTTGGTCACCATGTCCCAAATAAAATGTGTCCAACTAGTAGTCGTTTCCTACATTACTGGGGTTGTACATGGTTTACTTCATATCATTCCTGCATCTCAGTTGTTCTTTTGTGGACCAAACATCATTAAGAATTTTGTCTGTGAGGGTCCTGCACTATTACAACTTGCCTGTTCAGATATCAGTTTAAATAATCTGTTGAAATTTATATTTATTGGCTTCACTTTAATAACAACAATGCTCATTGTTCTCACATCCTACATTTGTATCCTGATTACTATTTTAAAGATGCACTCTGCCAAATCTCGGAAGAAAGCCTTCTCCACATGTATATCTCACCTCATGATCATCACTGTTTTCTATGGATGTGCTGGCTTTGTGTATGCACAATCACAACCTACCAAGTCTATCTACATCAATCAAATAGCTTCTGTGTTGTATCTTGTAGTGACTCCAATGATCAATCCCTTAATCTACAGCCTAAGGAACCAGGATGTAAAGGTTGCCTTCAGAAAAATGCTGGGGGGGGAAAAATGTGTCCTTTTTTATACCAAAAACCGAATACCGTGAAAACACCAGTAAAATATAGAAATATAGAAGCAAATATGTGTATATTAACAGTATGGTTATCTGACACATTTCTGCTTGGAAAACTACTTGACTGAATTAGTTTTACTATCATTTCAGGGACTATTGCAATTTAGCTCCGATATTTTGACAACAAAAATTTTCATATTTAAATATTTATCCAAGATATTATATTTTTCATAAAACCAATTAATGGAATCTAATTGCTAAATGTTAAAGATGGTGACATATATATAATGTAATATAAATATATAATACATATTTAAAACCAAACTGGGATTGTTTTGTAATCATAAAGACTGTAATTTTAAACATCCAGGTTAAAGAAAAATGGTTTCAACCAAAGTCTGAACTAGCCTGTCTCCTCTGATATTTTGACTCAATAAATGCTGCTTCAATTTATGTGATATAAATCTCTTATTTCTTTTAGTAATAGAGTATATTCAATGATGGCCTAGATGATTTTATCTGATGTCTAGTTATGCATTTTCTTTCAAGAACCATTCAGTGGCTGCTTCATGCAAAATCCTAAATTGCAGCCTTCCCACCCAAGTAATCCCAGTGATTTAGTGCCCACAGACAGTGGTGGGTTGCTCCCAGTTCTGTCCAGTTCTTTAGAACCAGTAGTAAAAGTGTCAGGAGGCTCCGCCCACCCACCGGATGTCATAATTGACGATCTGCGCATGCACAGAGACGCGCTCCCATTGCGAACCGTAATAAAAGTAAGTAGAACTCACCCCTGCCCACAGACCTTTGTTCAACAGGGACATGCATTGAAATATCACTCTATGTATTATTTATGTATATCTATATCACTCTTCATTGAAATTCCCCACTCTGGTCACTCAGATTTCCACACAAGGGTTACCATATGGTTAGTGGCAAAGTCACAGGCCAGTCACGATGTATTTCAAATAATTTCTTAGCCATTTCATATTTTTGCTGATAACATCCATGCTGAAGTATTGTTATGTTCATTTTGGTTACCAGAGCAGAATGTAACAAACCTTGTTGTTCCGCCAGGCTGGGCTATCAATGTAAAGATTTTAATTGGTTTTTAAAATGGGATTTTAAATTTGGGGTTATAAAATTGAGCCTATCATTTAATAATTTTAATAATTTTAAATTTTGTTTTGTCTTGTCCTTTTAATCAGGCTGTACACCGCCCTGAGTCCTTCAGGAGAAGGGCGGTATAGAAATAAAATAAAATAAAATAAAATAAAATAAAATAAAATAAAATAAAATAAAATAAAATAAATAATAAATAAATAAATAAATAAATAAATAAATAAATAAATAAATAAATAAATAAATAAATAAATAAAATGTAATTGTTCTTACAGAATTTTACCCATACTTCCTTTGATTTCAGCTAATATACTCTTGCAACAGGATAGGGATATACATTTAGTGACACCTATGTACTTTTTAATACCCAGTAAATGGGAATCATTTTTAGAAAAGCTAAAATGGTAATAAAAATGATAAGAATGGAGAAAAAGTTGCTCTTTTCTTCCTTCAACAAAAGAATGTTTTATAGCTTTCTTTTTTCCCCTCCTTCCCTATCTCCCATCTCCCATCTCCCTCTCCCTCTCTCCCCCCTCCCTCCTCTCTCTCTCTCTCTCTCTCTCACACACACACACACAGCAGGAGAGTTCAGAACAAAATTCTATCCAGGAAGGTTTTTGATAATGGAATTAAACTTTTGGATCCCCAATAAGACCATACACCACTATGACTGATTGGAGAAAAGGGAATGGACTGGTCTCTATTACCAGACCTAATCAGATAAAAAATGGGGGAGGGGTTCCTGTCAGAAATCTAGTGGGCTGAGTTTTGGAATCCTTGGTGCTCTCTCAGCTTAGTTCTTGCTTGCAGCCACTTCATCCTGAGACTTGAGTGCATTTTAGGTGCTGCAGAATCTGGGTTCCATGAACCAGGGAAATGAAATCTTCCAGGTGCTTCAAAAGACTTCTGAATTGTATTACACTACTGAAAAAGGAGATGGTTTTTCAAGAATCCTGCTTCAGAATGGAAGCCATGGCCAGGAGCATTTTTTGCCTAGAGTTGGCTGCTGGATCAGATGCAACTATTCCAAGAGCAGGCTGTTCTAACATCAGTTACTCAACTCTCATTAATTTGTATAAAATATTATCATAATATCATTTACTTAGGATTACCACTGAAGATTACTTGGAATTCAGTTCACAATGCATGGGCTTGCTTGCTAACCACCCAGGACTTAGATTTAGAAAAACTATATCACAGGAACAATGTGGACACCAATATTTTTTATATAGAAGTCAAAACTTTGTTAGCTCCCAAATTGTAAAATCCCCCTGCACTAGGTATTCCAACCAGGAAGGAAAGTTAAAAAGCTGTGAAAAGAGTTTATGTATATAATGTATGTTTGTTTTTGTATTGTCTTAATGTGTCATAATAAAAAAAAATTAAAAAAAAGAAGGAAGGAAAGTTAAAGATTCCTCCATTCCAGCTGTTCTTTTTGGTAGCCATCCCAACCTTAGGGAGATTTTTTCTCCCCTTAATGTTAGGATCACCCACCTAAAGGTTGAGAGCCATCTGTTGTCAATGATCAGGAAGGTGTGAAAATACAGTGAGGAATATATGAAAAAATGGATGGAAGGATAGCAAAAGGAGGATAAGTCCAAGAAGTGGATTTCAAGGCAAGAAAAATACACATTGGTAGAATTCTTTCTTTTTTATCTGTTGTAAAATAAGGGATCTATAGCTATTATTCCAGGAAAAGGCATTTTAAAAATCACATTTTCCAGGAAAGTGTTCTTTGGATTATTTTAGAACATGAGGACATTAGAGAATGTCATGATGTCAGCAGGCAAATGCTCCATTCAACTGTTACAAGAATCAACTTTAATAAATTATTACTGTTACTATTATTCTTATCTTATGGTGAGAAGTGGAGATGAAAAGTTAATGAGAATACAGATAGTCCTTGATTTACAACAGTTCATTTAGTGACTATTCGAAGTTACAATGGCCCTGAAAAAAGTGAGTTATGACCCTTTTTCATACTTATCATCATTGTGGCATCCGCATGGTCATGTGATCAAAATTCAGATGCTTGGCAACTGGTTCATATTTATGACGGCTGCAATATCCCATGGTCATATGATAACCTTTATGACCATCTAACAAACAAATTCAACAGGGAATCCAGATTCACTTAACCACTTTGTTACTAATTGAACAACTGTGATGAATTACTTAACAAAAATGTGACAAGAAAGGTCATAAAATGGGGCAAAAACCACTTAACAAATGTCTCACTTAACAACAGAAATTTTGAGTTCAATTGTGGTCGTAAATCAAGGACTACCCGTAACTTTAAACAAGAGTAAGTATCTGCAGATTAGCAAGCTTTGTCACAAGACACCATCTCTGACTCAGTCTTCTCCAACAGCTCTTACATTGCTGCCTAGTAAAAATTAGCTTGGTGAATATGAACTGGGAATCAAATATTCCCGGGTACATTTCATTGATTTCTTCCTCACACTGCCTTTCGTGCAATTTGGGAAACTGCTTGACAGCTGAATGTGGATTCCTTGTGATATCCCAGTCACACCGGGATGGTAGGCAGAGATATCTATCTTTCTAGTCAGACCTGTGCAATCATAAGATCTTGAAAAGGTGGATTTACTGATGTGGTCTTGGACCTTGATGCTTTAATTCCATTTTTTTCCTCAGAGGATGAGAAAGAAGACTTTGAGGGGCATAAGTGCACCAGTGTGCCTACCGTTTCTGTCCTAATGTTTTCTTTTATTGGTATCCTTGTCATGTATTTATAATTATATTTATACCTGTATCTGTCATGAAATACATGCTTGATGAAATAAATAAATAAATAAATAAATAAAATCTCTAGTGGTACTTATTCTTCTTATACACGCAACATGTAGAGACAAATACAGCTTTACCCAGGTTAGTATTCTACACTAAACGTTTTATATTTTCTAGCTTTCTCACAATACTCATTCTCAAATTGCCTTGCTGGGTGCATATTTCAGTAAAGTTTAATTGGGAGCCCCACAATATGTTGTTCATCATTCTGGGTGATGTTTCCAAAGTAATGAAGTTTCCTCATACTTTGTAAGCTGTCCCTAAAGACCAGTTAAGTCGAGTTTTGGCCTCCATTTATTTTCTTCTGTACATTTCCGTTTTCCTCTTCAGTTTGGTGAGGTTGCCAAATCGTGTGGGCTTTACTTAGAAGCAAGTAATCAAGATATTTTCTATATTTCTTTTTCTTTCTTTCTTTCTTTCTTTCTTTCTTTCTTTCTTTCTTTCTTTCTTTCTTTCTTTCTTTCTTTCTTTCCAAATACTTTAAAAAAAATCTTTCACACACACACACACACACACACAAATGCTCCTTCATCAATAGATAGCCTTGAGTCAGTCTCAGGTACGCCATCTTTGATATATGACCATTCAAACTTCCATTATAACACTTGAGAGATAATAAGAAACAAACAAATACAAAGAAACATATACAATAATTAATAACAGTGGGAACAAGTCAATGGTTGAAATCATTGTGTCATATAAGGAAAATTGTAGATGTCCATTGGCATACTTCAACTAACATTATTTCAAATATATTGCAACTTCTCAAAAATAAGCTAAAATTTTCAATCAGATTTATAATTGAATATTAAAAAGTTGCAATGCAGCTCCAATATCTATTAATGAGAATTAATAGAAAGTATTTGTTTAAGATCGGGAGTACTTAGGGAATAGCAAGGTTTCCCAATAGCTTTAGGATCTCTTGCACAAACTAAGATCAAAAAACAGCCAAGAAAATTCTATGACCAAATTAAGAAGACCTGGAGCTGGAAGATATCTGCATTTCTTCCAGGAAGCAAAGAATTTCCTAACTCATTTCATATAGAAGCAATCCACATACATCCAGAAAAGAAGGAATGCTATTGTAGATGTCACTGAGATCAGAGTCAATAGGTAAGTTTAGGCTGCTTGGGATTTTCTGGGTTTTATCAGACTAGTCTGAATATTTTAAAACTCGGTATTAAAAACACAGAAAACCTTCTTTTTAAACATAATTCCAACATAAAGTACTGATAAACTACTATGCTATATCATTCTGGGATGATTGGGAAATGTATTTATTTTCTTTTTCCCCCACTATTTTTCAGCTAATTGAGGAATAGAAAAATAATAACCTGAAGGTTTCCCTTTAATCATTCCATTTTCTTTTCGCAGGACCAATTTTTTAGTTTTCTTTCATTGATAACCCTTTAGATCACAAACTAGCCTCTCATCTCCATGAAATTTGCTTGTTTTTCAGTAATAATAAGGAAGGGGAAAATATTATTGATACACCTACCTAGGAAGATGGTTTTTCACTCTTGGTCCATGTGTTCTTTCAGCATGTCAAGTTCAATGCTTTGTATCTTTGGTCACGTACAGAATGAAGAAATCTACCCTGTGTGGATGCTCTATTGTACATTCTCATCCTTCTCCTACAATCCACACTGGGTGATTTTTAAGCTGAATTTTAATCAGGTTCTTCTGTGGCCCAAACATCATTAAGAGTTTTTATTGTGAGGGCCCTCCTCTTTTCGCTCTTTCCTGCTCAGATATCAGTCTTAATTATCTCTTGGTTTTTATTCTTGTTGGCTTTAATTTAATAGCAACAAGCATGACTGTTCTCACCTCCTATGCTTATATCCTGGTCACCATTTTAAAGATCCATTCTGCTGCAAGCCGTAAGAAAGCCTTCTCCACTTGTACATCTCACCTCATGGTCATCACCATTTTCTACGGCTGTCTCAGCTTTATGTATGTACGGCCAAGCTCTAGACAGAATTATCACCTAGACCAAATGGCCTCTGTGTTCTATGTAGTGGTGACCCCCATGCTCAACCCATTAATCTACAGCATGAGAAACCAGGAGGTAAGGCGTGCTTTCAGAAATATTCTAGAAAGGAAATTTCATGTTCTGCAGCTTTAAGAGTCATTGCTTTTTGCCAAAATTTAATTTTACATAAAGGCTCTTCTATTAGCAAAAAGTTTTATCATTGTGTCTCATTAAATAATAAATCATCATGCTGTACAGTTTCATCATGCTGATAGTAATTATATATTTACTTTTGAGTTCAAAAACTGAAATTTGAAATCTAAAAAAATTATCCTATTTTGTGGTAGCTATCATGCCTGAATTGTTATCATTCAGAAAGGAATAACAGACTCTGTTCTTTGCTGTTTACAAAACAAGGAGTAAAGCACAGACAGGAGGAAAAAAGAACAGAGAGAATATGTTCTTCAGAGTTAGAACAAAGCTGGCATTTGTCTTTGGTTTAATCCAGGCTGATCTCCCCTTTTTAGTGTTCTTAGGGGTTAGGGTTAGCAGTTATTCAAGCACATCAGACACCTATCGTTCTTGTGTACCTCAGTACCATAGCAAATGCCACTTGGATCCAAATGTCGCCCTATTTGGAAAAGGACAAATTTTATACAGTACATAAGTTATTTCAGCTTGCTTTAACAAGCTTCTTGAAATCTACTTTTAAAAGAGAAGTTACCCATTCTAAGGGGAAATAATCTGTAAACTCAGATCAAACCATGCTGTGATAAACAGTGGCACTGGGAATTTATGAATATGTTTATAAGTAACTGACCACGGGAACATATGAAAACTAGAAGGGAAATCAAAACTTTGTGCCTTCTGTGTAGGCAACGGCTGCTTCCCTTTTGTTGAATTAAGATCAGCAGCAACAAAGCAAGACAACCCTAAGGGAGTTTGCAAGTCCCATTACACTGAGATAAAGATGACAAAAACTTAGTGATTCCAAACAGATGAAGGCATTTAGCAAATCCTTGTGCATAGGGGAAGGGAACAGAATGACAATTAATATGAATTGGAGAAAGGACAAAGCCTCGGTGGTGCAGCGGACTAAAGTGCTGTTAAGTGCTAGCACTTAGCTGCCAGCTGCCTGCAATTAGTGCAAGTTCGAATCTCACCAGGCTCAAGGTTGACTCAGCCTTCCATCCTTTCGAGGTAGGTAAATTGAGGACCCAGATTGTGGGGGCAATAAGTCAACTTTGTATAGAACAACACCGCTTAGGGAGGGCCGAAAGCCCTAATAAGCAGGTATATACAAAAAAGTATGCAGGCTATTGCTATAATGCATTGTAAGCTGCCCTGAGTCTACGGAGAAGGGTGACATATAAATTGGACTAATAAAAATAAATAAATAAATAAAATAAAGCTGAGATTTTGCATGTCCTCCCAAGAATGCTTCTGGATGTTGTCTCTTGGCCTGCCTGTTCACAGCAGAATATACCCTTCTAGCAGGAAGGATGTATAGGTTTTTAAATTTTTTAAAGTTTTGATATAGTACTAGAAAAGTGTGTGTGTATGTATTTATATATATATATATTGTGTGTGTATATAATATATATAATAAATTGCTACAATACAGGTTTTAAACAAATTGAACCTGACTCAGAATTGTATTTTATAGACTTTATGTCAATAGATAGCCAATTCAAAGACTGAGAGTTAATCAAGTTAAAATGTTGCCTCTGACACAGAAGTAATTTCCAGGAACACATAATGCTCTTTAGGTAGCAGTCCAAGTTTAATATAAAGTCAGTATCTTTCATGAGTAGGCAAGTTCAACATTTTTTCGAGTATAATTACAAAATCAAAATTAATTTCCTTCCAAGAACCTGGTTCACCCTAATAAGACTGTTTAACCAATACAAAACTCAGGCCATGTAGTACATTTACATCATATTTCCAATGTAAAATCAACAACCAGTTTTCTTAAATATCCGTTGAGTATAATAAACCCAAAGAAGACTTTTAATGTATTGAACTTGTTTTAAATTCCTAAATACTATTTTAATAAATACATTTAAGATTTCTTAAAAGTTAAATCAATAATTTTATAATACAGGAAAATTTAGTCCTCTGTTCCAATTTTGTTTACATTATTGATATTTATTTTTATTGTGGATGAAATGGAATTGCTGTTTTAGTCTCTAAAAAAATCTTAACCTGGGGCATTAAATTCCATAGAAGTTTCCAAGGTAGTTCATCCTAAATTTCACAGCACATGAGTATGACAAATACTTTAGTGGTATATATTGCTATTTAGATATAGTTTTTGGAATCTTTCAAAAGTCTTGAAAGTTTGATGAGAATCCACTTTTATAACACATTCCACAAATTTAATTTACCAGTTATTTGATATTACCAGAAGTTTCGCAAAGCCAGCATTTAAAGGACAAATTGTTGATAGCAATAACTTCAGCAACATTTGTGTCACAATTGCAATTGAAATTATTTTATCTACGACCCTGGGCAATCCATTTCTGTCAGACTAACTATAATGCAAACCTTATCAAATAAATCAGTCCCAACAAAAAATAGTTGTATGTTCATTAATTACAGAGGTTACAGATTTCAGTTCAGATTCCAATTCAGTGAAATGTTTTGTGTCACGCTATAAAAATATCACGAGCTACAAGTTACAAGAATATGTAGGAACAGATGTGTTCATATTTTTTTATTTTTTGTATTTGACATCATTCTATTCTTACACACTCAGAAGTTTCAAATGGTAATGGTCCATTAAAAAAAGAATAAATTGAACAGATCAATATCAGGATGGAGCAGAATAGTATTGCTGTTTCAGGTTGTATTATACTGTATCAACACTCAGGAGATCAGAGTCTACATTAGTATAAGAATGCATCAGAGCCCATCCGGAATCAGGCACATATAATTTATAATAATTATTGTAAATTATATGTGCCTGATTAATAATTATATGATATAATAATTATAATAATTATTATAATTATTATAATAAATGATATAATGATGTTTTATTATTATATCATTTTGTATTGAATTTCCTCAAGTATAAAACCACTGCAACATCCTAGCATTCAGAGGGTACTTCTAATGAATGATCCTCAACACCATCTCTTCCTGTTGTTTTGTTTTGTTTTCAAAAATGTAAGATAAAACACAGACGTAACAGGACAATGGGAGAGTAACACATGGAGTACCTAATAATTCAATATAATATTTTATTAGTAAGCATGGTTGTATACTAAAAGCTTCATTTGGACTAACTCAAGAATTTATGGGTCAATTAATTCAGCAATCTGCTGGAAAGGTACTGTGATTTAAAATATGTGGAAGTAACTAATCTGTCATGGTTAATTGTTATAAAATATATAGAAACTATAACTCAGCTCAAATATTTCATTGCTTGTTTATTTGCATTATTCAATTTGATTGCCAAACATTCCACACTGGCATGGAATTTAAAAACCTTGCAAAAACACATTTTATCCAAGAATATCTTTCTGGATCTGAATCTGCATTAATCATGTCTCATGTTTCTCATAGTACTTCGGCATACTTTTTCCTTGTTTATTTGGACAACAATTAACACAATAGTGTTCCCAACTTGTCATTTGAAAGAACAAATAATTCCTTTTGTTAGCTGTCTTATTCAGAGTTATTTTTTTATGGTCCATTGAGTACAACATGGCTGTCTCCTTGGGATGGTCAATGACCTCTTCCATGGTGGTGGGTCATAGCAATAGCAATAGCACTTCATGACCTGTTTCAAAGGGAACAGTGAAGATATGGTTCCAGAGAATACCGGGTCATATTGCCTAAGTATAACTCTCTTCAGAAATCCCCAGATACAGAAGATCCCACAATCCACAGTCATTTGGTCTTATGACAGTGTAGTCTGAACCCAGTGGTGAAATCCAAATTTTTTTACTACCGGTTTTGTGGGTGTGGCTTGGTGGGCATGGTGTGGCTTGGTGGACGTGGCTTGGTGGGCGTGGCAATGAAAGGATACTGGAATATCTCCATTCCCACCCCACTCTGGGGCCAGCCAGAGGTAGTATTTGCCAGTTCTCCGAACTACTCAAAATTTCTGCTGCCGGTTCTCCAAACTGCTCCAAATTTCTGCTACTGGTTCTCCAGAATCTGTCAGAACCTTCTGGATTTCACCCCTGTCTGAACCTCATTTCTTTCACCTACAGCTTCTAGACACCAAGACAAAGCTTTGATAATATCACTTGGTGGGCCTGGGTTGAGATGTAGAATTGAGTATGATCAGCATCCTGATAATACCTTGCTCCTTGCCAATGCATGATTTCACCCAGTGTTCTCATGTAGATGTCAATCAGGAGTAAGAAAGAACTGAACTCAATGTGATAGCCTCTCTCTTTCTCTCACTCCCCATCCTCAACCATGACTGAAGTGGCACGGGGGAAGGAAGAATGTCACTACATCACTCCATATTCAACATTCATATTCCTGAGTTGTCACGAGTTATCATGATTGATAGTACTGAAAATTGACAAGAGATCAAAGAGGGTGCACCATCTCCTTCATGGTCCCACCACAAATTATCAACAAGCATGACTGTTTCTATACTGTGCCCTGGTGTGAAATTTAATTGAAAGGGATCCTGATAGTCTGCTTCATCCAGGGCCCTTTGGAGCTGTAGAAATTATCCAACATAGTTGAGTCCAATGATGCCTTCCTGAAGAGGGTAAAGACCACTGTCTCCCTAAGTATAGATGTACCCAGGCTCTCTGCCAAAGAAGAATTCACCACTGCTTGGACTCAGACACATGCGAAATCCTGGGAGGCCTTCACCAACTAGAGGGGCAAGGGTCTAAAAACATAAATGAGCACACACACAGCTTCAAGGATCCCACCCGCTTTCTCAGGGTGGAATATCACACCAACAAGGTCATGCCATCATTTAATTTTCTTTAAAATCACTGCTTCACAACTTTGTATAGGTTTTAATATTTTCTCTGAATGATTCTGTTACTATTTTGAAGACAGTTTTGTTAAGCTTTTTTCTATTTAAATAATAAAACCCATATTTTTGAAAGGCACTCTTTGTCTACATAAGGAATATCATTGTGTGGAAAAAAAGGTATGATAAAATACTATTA